CAAATCGATGTTCATGGATGTGGAAACGAAGAGAAGAAATATGTAATCGTCCTTGTGTAGGAAAATATTGTGCAACACATAATCAGCAGAGTAAAAAAAATCCTCCCGATTGGATCAAATGTATCAGATGCAACGCTAGCATCAGAGGAAAAACCCGTCTATGTGCCGACTGCGGAGGAAAACGATATAGAACATTTGTTAAATATTATAAAGAAAAATATAATATAACATTCACCGAAGATGATTTTATCACCGGAGATTATAAGAAACAATTAAATATGTAATTGTATTTGTATTTATATATTAAATCAAAAATGTTTGTTATACATCACATTTATACTAATTATGAGATCTCCAAATATGGTAATGCTAGGCATAAAGTAAATAAAAAAAATCTTGGTTATTTAACTAAATGTGGTTATATACAAATATCCATTTATCATAACAAAAAAATAAAACATTTCTCGTTGTCTAGATTTATCTGGGAAGGTTTTAATGGTCCAATTCCACCAGGTTTGGTAATTGATCACATTAATAGAAATCCCCTTGATAACAGATTAGAAAATCTTCGTTTGGTTACTCAGAAAGAAAATTGTCTTAATAGTTCACCTAAAATTAAATTTGCATATCGCCGGCCGGTAATAGGAATCCATGATGGAAAAACTTTGGAAGAATCAGAGAAATACTTTTCATCGTTTTATTCTGCAAAAAAGTATTATAATATTAATAGCCGATCAATAAAACGTTGTTGTGACGATGTTCAAAATTTAGCTTACTCAAAAAAATTTAATTATTGGGTATCTTTCATGTACCAGTGAAAGTGTTAAACATTTTTAATTAATTATATTTTTGAAAAGATATATCATTTAGAGACATAACTTATTTTGTATATTATATAATGACCAACTTTCAAACTCAAATTGATGAAATTCAAATCATAAACGCTAAAAATCTTATAGAATTGTACACTTCTCCGGGATACATAGCAGTTTTACCAGAATCATCCACCGACGGTATAAACATAATAGATCGCAAAAATGAATTTATCAAGAGAGAAAGATATCTTCCCAATCACTACATAACATCTAATAAAGATTTTTTCGAAACAGAACAGGGATGGGATTATCCATATGAATACGGCATGGCTAGAAGAAAAACATTATATGATAATTTTTGTACCGTCCACAGAAAAACCATCGAAAGTGAACCAGATGGTGAATATTATCCCTACGCGTATAATGAACTACTCGATGAGGTATTTTGAGCAGTTCGAATTAGAAATGTAAGACATTTTAGAAATATAATATAATATATACTCATGAACGACGAAAACATTGCTCACTTGTGTAACGAAATTGATAAAGTTTCTCAATATACCCCTGAAGGTGTTAATTTTACTAGCAAATGGGTCACCGATGAATATAAAACCTTCGTTGATATGAGAAACCGCGGAAAACCATCTCATCGCAACGAATACAGAATTATAAAAACTCTCATTGATGCTCGTAATGAAGTACTAGCAGCGCATCAAGACTCATTGGAAAAGTTTATTCCAGTATGTAAAATTATTAGGAAAATAGAAAAATCTATAAAAGATATATTTAAGCAGCAAACTTCAATCAAGGACGTCTGCGACATGATGGAGAAACTTATGTCCTAACATTTCTGTCTAAAAATCACAATCTAATTCACCATTCCGTAAATTTTCTTTAAGTCTTTGTTCGTTAGATATTTCTCCTTTTTTTGTTCAGATATTTAAACTTTTAGATTATTTATCATAGCTTCATTAGAACTACTGACACTTTTAAGTTCGTTAATTGCTTTTTTTTTGTTCAGATATTTTAACTTAGATTATTTATCACAGCTTCATTAGAACTACTGACACTTTTAAGTTCGTTAATTTCTTTTTTATAGTCCGGGATATTATTTAATTCTTCTTGGTATATAGCTTCAAGACGAATCTTTTCTTGTGTTGCACTTGTCAGTTTATTAAGTTTTTTTTTGATTATCTTCTAAAGATTTTTCTTCCTCCACGATAGCGTTATTTATTTTATTAAGTTCAACCAGTAAAGTTTCATATCTTTCACGTCTTTTTTTAATCTTTTCGTTGATGGTATTTATTTTTTTTTGTCAAATTTTTACCAGCTTGAGTACCTGCTAGCCCTCCAGGAAATTTTTGATCCGTAGACGCATCTGTCCATATTTTATATAGTCGTGTTAATCCAATCTTGTATTTTTTAGCTATTTCTGCAGGTTTATAATGTCCACGTAGTCGGATAATATGTTGTTGTTGCTCGTATGATAAATATTGCGCGCGATTAGGCATATACATTTGGGATATACTTTTTATTTAATAAAATTATATCTAGGTATCATGATGAGTAATTATGATGCGTAATATTAATCGGAAACAATGATAAATAATTACTGTTGTCACAACAAAAAATACAAACTTTTTTTCTCGATTTTTGCAAGAATATAATTCTTGTTTACTATTACTCATCATAATTACTCATCATGATACCTAGATATAATTCCTAAACATTTTTCAAAAGTAGATACCCACACGTGTGTGTGTGGATGGGTTTATATATATTTAGATAGTTTTTTTTTAATCTTTAGATTGTAAAATGCAGCCCTCTAGCTGACTCTCTTGGAGATAGAGAGCGTCGACGGGCGGATAAATTGCTGGGTTCAGCACCTCTGCTGCTCGTGTTTATTATGTAGAACGTAATAATGTATTATTGTGATTATCTGTTGCAGACACTTAAAAGGGATGCTTGAATAAAGTTTATATTGTATACGTATTATAAATCTTACAACGAATGTTCCGTTGTCAGAAACAAAAATCAGGAATAAAATTCCAGTAAGGATATCCAAATACTACTGTAATATATTTGCTTACGTTTATTAAAACTGTACGTAACCAGATTTTGTAGTCACAGATTTAATGTGTTTTAATTGAGATTAAAAACGATAAAATAATGTTTTTCATATGCACGCCACGTTGTATGTCCTCTTTCCTAGAGTCATTCTGACGACTTCAGTAAATACGCTGTCAAGTGTGATCCTAACAGATTCCTACGATGGAAATTGCTTGACATTTGGCAAACAGCCAAACAAGATATTAAAAAAAAAACATCAGCAAAATTCAAAGCAACACAACTCTGCCATTGACATGACATAACAAGTTTTCCAAGTGTAAACTAATTAAAACCTGAAATACTGACCACTGGAACGCAACGGTTTAAACCTATATCGTAGATGCATTTTACTTGTTAAGTTATCTAAGGGTAAAAATGTGAGCGAGCCTGATTATGTAGGAATACAGAACCGCTAAACAATAACCTTATCGTCTGCCATAAGCCAAAGTCCACTGAATGCCCCAGGCCATACGAGAAGTCACAATCCGATTAAACTCGAATCGCCACTGCCCTACGGGAAGCGAAGAACTGATTTTAATCAGATAGGAGAAAGAAGTCCTATCTTGGTCACTACTGGACGGACGTATTGACAAACGTGGATATAGACTTGAGTCGTAGCAGTAGTGGTGCTAATTTTACAGCAACTCATTTCATGATCAGATAGGGGAATAACAACAATAAAAAAACAACCACCACCACCACCACCACCGCCACCAATAATAATAATAATAATAATAATAATAATAATAATAATAATAATAATAATAATAATAATAATAATAATAATACAATAACAAACCTCACAAATGATTAAAGTGATCACACAAAAACTGCCGAAAAGCTGTGTTCAGAGGGCTGGATCTTAATTTGGCAGCATATTGTGCGGAAAGCATTTCTCTACGTTGTGATAAGGGTGGTTCATCAGCATCAGCTTCAACGAGTAAGGCTTTCACACAGGGATGTTTTAAATACTCCCAGGGCAAGTCTTATTCCCTGATAATGGAATGGGTCAAGCATCTTCAAATAGGATTTCCTTGCTGAACCATAAACAAAGCATCCATAGTCTAATTTGGAGCGGATAAACGTTCTGTATAAACTGAGTAGGACTCTCCTATCAGCACCCCAGTCAGTGTGCGCTATTACTTTAAGTAAATTAAGTGATTTCAAACATTTGGCTTTCAAATGTTTCAGTTGTGGAATAAAAGTCAGTTTTCTATCGAAGATAATGCCTAAAAATGTTTTGTTTCCTCAACAACTGAAATATGTGTTCCTTCTAGCGTGAGTTTAGGTCTATCGTGATGTCTTCGTAACTGATAGAAATGCATACAGACAGTTTTTGATTTCGAGAATTTGAAACCATTAGTAGTGGCCCAATTTTGAATTTTGTTTATACTTTGCTGTAATTGTCTTTCAATTGCATGCATGTGCTTGGATCGGTAACATATTAAAAATTAATCAATCTATAGTGAGCAATCCACAACTGGTGGCAGACACTTTGTGATGCTATTAATTTTTATGTAGAAAAGCGTCACCGATAAAATACTGCCCTGGGGTACACCCGTCTCTTGATAGTGTATGTCAGAGAGAGTGAAGCCCACTCGTACTTTGAATTCCCTGTCGGAGAGGAAGTTTGATATGAGCGAGGGCAGTCGGCCTTTTAGACCTAAATCGTGCAGGTCATTTAGTATTCCGTACTTCCATGTTGTGTCATAGACCTTTTCCAAATCAAAGAAAACCGCTACTAAATGTTCCCTCTTTATGAAAGCATAGCGAATAAAGCAGAAATATTTTCACAAGTTTTTAACAGAACGAGCAGCGACGCAAACTTTAGTGGTGTTTGGTGCTTATGATTTTTAACGTAGCTTTAACAATTTTTCAGTCTTATCGCTACTATGTCTGCAGTGTGGCAGTTTATAGTGATGTCCAGCACTGGAGAATCATGCCGCAGACATGTAGCATGATGTCCACACCCAGTCACATTTTCCGGACACCAGGCCGACCAGTCCTAACACTAACCTCTTAATGCTGAGCGTCAAGCGAGGCAGCTGTTAGTACCATTTTTGTAAGTCTTTGGTATGACTTGACCGGGGATCGAACCCACGACCTCCCGCATCCGAGGCGGAAGCTCTAACCACTAGGCCACCGGAGTGGTATCAAACTTTAGTAATAAGCTATAAAAAGTATTTTAAGTACGTCAGAACAAAGACCTAAATGGCACCCAAAATTACAAACACATCCCACAGTGAAGATACACCTGGTCATGAAGCGACCAGCATAGTGTTCTATAACCCTTGCCTCCGACAAGTCTATAGGTAGGCAAAATATGAGAAAAAAAAATAGTTTCGATATCAAACGATAAATTTCAGCCATTTATTAGTTATTATTCCTCCGGCTCATAAATTATAGTCGAAATGGCGGATTGAGTAGCTTCAGGAAGAGTTCTATGGTTTAACTCCATTTTTCAGCACAGGATTTACTGGCTATACATGGCGGCCAGTATAACTGCGGGAGAAGAACCCTGGTAAACTCCGGGAAGAACCACCAACCCACGAGAAGTTACTGATGGGCTTTCTCAAGTACCTACGTTATACGACTCTGACCCTCGAAGACAGGGATGAGATGGCAATGATCCGGAACGGTGAGCGCTTTAGACCACTCGGCTACTTGGAGTCCCTACTTCAGGAAGAGATTCATTGGTAAATATTCCTGACAGTATTTTTGAAACTTTCCTACCTGATTGCAAGAACCTTTCATATCGTAAGTTAAACAAAGGCCTGAACTACATACTACAAACAAGGAATATGTTCATGAAAGTTTGGATTTTCGATTGTGAATGCTGTAGCTCGTTGATTGCGGTCTAAGAGAAAGAACGAACATCTTAAAAAGCTCAAGAAGACATTTCGATAGAAGAGGACACATTTATATATCTTTCTTTGTGTTCTTGCAAAGTTGGAAATGTTTATTAATTAAATCAGAATCTATTGTATGACTTTATTACTGGTATTTTTCTTTCTTTTCAAGTTTAAAATAAAGTGCTTTCTTTAAAAAGCAGTTAAATTTATATCATACATGTATCATTGTCATGTACGAAGAAAAAAAAAACAACTATCTTTTCCGATCTATGATAACAATTTATTTATTATTAATTAAAGTTACACAAATAAATAACTGAGTGACCGAAGGTAAAGTTTCGTGTTCTTCAAGCCGCATTAATATGTATTCTAATTTGGACGATACAAGCACTTTATAAAGGTAAAGATCAAACCAGTAAAATCAAATTATTTCAGGTCCATATAAAACTATCCTTTATCATAATTTCTTGATAAAATAACAAACTAATAATGACACCTAGAAAGAAACAACTACTGGCACGTTGAGAGGGTTATATTTGCATACGCTTTTACCATTCGTGTGACAAGTTTCTTCTTAATTCCTTGATGCCATAACATTATAACATCAGTATTTTGCGAGAGAGTTTAATTTGAAGTCAGTATCACAAAAATACAATGAATGGCAGGACATGACTTGCTGCTATTCATAGTCCGAAGCCTACTAAAGATGCCCCTCACCCCATTTTATTAATGTACCTCTTCATAATGTTAAAATATTTTTAACAGAATCTGTAACATTTTTTGTAAAGTCATTTTAAAAGATTGAAATAAGTGATATCAAAACAAATATTATATTGGTTTAGGGACATTCCAGTACCTGTTGTGAAAATGGGTTTAAAACCCCAATTCCAACAGTAATTTATTAATTTTTTTTTCCAATAAAAACAACCTATACTAATCACCCATGCAATTGTTTTCAAACAATCAGAGAATTTATAAAGAAAATTATTTTTTGTCAACTTGACACAAGTTACATGTAAATGCTCAATTTTGAAAACTATAACAAAATCAACACTTCTGGAGCATGATATGCGCTTTCATTATTCAGATTTACTTTTTTTGTAAAAAAAAAATAAAAAAAAATAAAACACAATCCAAGGTAATAAAAAAGACCAAAAGAAACAAGACGTATATAGATATATTTTTCTTATTGTATACATCATCTTGACTGAATAAAAAATACAGTTCGAACATGAACAAATAACTGGCATAAATTTTAATCAACATTTTCATAAGCACAACAAATAATGTCATTATTTTAAAACAGATTTTCATATCTTTATATGAAATGTGTTTATAATTAACATATCTCGTCTCACACATACATTTTTTCCATAATGGTTCTTGGTTTGAGAGAATTTGCATAAAACCCCACTTGAAACCGCCTAAGATTAGGACCATATGCATTGCAGGTACCGTAAGCACAACGGCGAACCATTTGGTTGATGAATTTTCAATGACTGTCTCAATGTTTTGCTCACGCTGATAGCGCTGATAAGAATTATAGTCGTGAACCTTACGACTTGATTAAAGCCCTTAAAAGGACCGTTTCACCAGTAATAGGCGATAACCCCCTGGATAGCTTACCGACTTAGCCGAATGTCACCTTTTAGTGGCATTGCTCTCCAGAGAGGTGCTTAATTAGCCATAGTGCTGGGCTTTTAACCATGGTGCTTGGCCTTTCGAAACCAAAAGAAAAAATCTTTGATCTTATATTGCCAGTAATGACTGCCCCACGGCTAGTCAATGCCCCGCTCAGATCACACAGGCAGAACGCCACCCAAGCCAGCCAGGGCAAAGTGCGCCACTCGAGTCATACCTTCAGGTCGGCAAGCAGACTTCCTTCATAGATCTTTGATGAGGATGGAAGGCAAGCAGACTCCCATCATAGATCTTTGATGAGGTTGGAAGGCAATTGCGTTCATTTCTTTTCATAAGGCAGTTTTAGTTGTTTCTTTATGGAAATTGATGTTGGTGGTGTCTTTTGTAGATCTCCGACTCCGCCCCACCCCGCCTCCGCCGACATTGCAACCAAGTATACCAGCAGCAACATAGGATGTTTAGTATTTCAAATTCTCTTCCCGTTTCCTATTGTATTGGGTAATTCCTATAATATTGCCAAACATGTGAGTGTCACATTCGAGTCACATAGTTCTGAGTCGTGAATTTGCATATCTCGTTAGTGTTATTTAGCTTGTGTATACTTTGTGTACTTTTGCTTGTCCGAAATTTCCGTCTAATTGGATCGCCGGCTTAAGTAGCCTATTTTTGTTTTTGGTGATCTTAATTTGATTATAGCATAGTGAGTTGGAGTTTTTGAATCCATCGTTTTTTTTTTTTTTGTTTTTTTTTTTCAGGAGGACCAGTGAATTGTAGGTCTGAAGAGGGCTTTCGTAGGCCGGAATGAAAGCCCAGTTTGGTTAAAAAGGGAGGGGACCCTTTTCCTTGAAAAAAGTTACGTTGTCCGGAAGTGTCTTATGGGGCAGATGACAGAGCTCTCCTAAACTGCCCCTTGATTTGATTTTTTTCTTCTGTGTATCTGTATTTTCGTTAAATCTTCTGTTGTTGTACTTGAATCTTCTGTTGTCGTTTTTTGTGTGGTCTAATATGCTCCTAAAAAGGGGGGGTACACTTTTCATCGAAAAGGTGTTGTTTTCCAGAGGGTCTTGTAGGGCAGTAGGTAGAGCTTCCTGACTGCATCTTGAATTGATTTTTGGCAATTTTGTTAGCTACATATTTTCATACATGCAATTGTGGTTGCAGATGCAACTGACAATTGCTATGGCGATTGAAGTCGTTTTTATGTGTGGCTGGTTGCTATATAAGCCCCGATTTTACTGCCTCTAGAGCTAATATACAATGGCCGTATATGATGACGGGTGTTTGTTCTCATTTTTCTTCAGAGCTTTTGGCTTTTATTCTTTGTTGTTGTTGATGTGGCTTCCTGTGGATGGTATCCTTCTTGGTGTTGGAACTCTCATATTGTCAGTAATAGTCGTCACATTATAAGATTTTTTTATTTGTTTTATTTGTAGCTGCTAATTAAATCTCCTATGTTTCTAAGTCAATTTTTAATGTTTAGTTATTATCAAATTATATGTGTAGTTAGTAACAGTTTTATTATTGTAAATGGTGATACCCAAGTAATCATTGTTTATTTTGTTTAAGTGGTTGTGGTAATGTAGCTTTAATAACCTTATATGCCTTTTAGTCGTACTATCAGCTTACATATTAGTTTTTTTTTGTGGAGTAAGAGTATCAATTCATAATCAAACTATTGTTCACAGATTTATGAATGTTAAATTTGATTGGTTGTTGAGGTGTTTAGGTTTCGATCCGTTTTTCTGGTCCCGACTTGCACAGAATTGTGTGGGTCACATTTAATTGGCTGTTGTGTTTTTTTTTTTTCATTTTAAGTCTGTTTTGTGGGTTTGATTTGTACAGAATTGTGTAGATTGAATTTGATTGGTGTTTTTTTTTTTGGGGGGGGGGCAAGTTTTTCTATCCGTATTGTGGTCTCGATTTCAGCGTACTAAGAAGTTTATCAAGCGTCGTCTTGCGCTTGTGAGCAAATATGGTGGATAGTACCGAGAAACTACGTAATGAATTCGATGCCTACTTTTGGTTGTTTGAAAATAATTAATGTGTCCGGTTTGATTGAGGGGTCGGAAGCTTCCATAGATCGGGATAATAAAATAGTCGAATTCGTACAGATTTCATCCCACATTATAGTTCTAGGCAATGAAAAACAGACAAAGAGAAACAAAATCAAAACGAACCAACGTTCAAAGACATCATCTAGATTTCTGGAGATAAACAGTATCATGGTGGTGGGGAAAATAGCTCAAAGTGGCAGGAATCATAGGATAAGTCGGGAACAGAAACAAAGCTTTAAAAAAAAATACAAAACGAAAACGGGGAAAAAGCCATCTACGACCGTTCAGAATCCATACGAACCGACCATAATAAAAAGAATACCAACTTTTTAAAAGTAAATAGCCACAAGTACAAATTGCCCACGCTACCGGATCCTGAAAACACGAAATCATGTCCTAAATATATGTACCAAATATTATCAAGTGGAGTCATAGTTCAAGAACTATAAAACCACCACAAAATTTAAAAATAAAACATTGTTGATGCAGGAAGCGCATATACACAATAATTCGTGACCGGGAGCAGAAACCACGCATAACAACCTCTTGTTATTTATAACAACAAAAGAAAAAGAGGAACATATAAAGTCAAGATC